CTGCTCCATGTTAATTAAGGGCCACTGATGGAAACATGTATCTCTGTCCGTTTTCTGCTGAAGGAGATGAGAGGATTGTGAATTTGCAGGGGGAATATTTGCGGAAAAGGATTTGGCTGAGGCAAGTTTCGTGGATGGGTTTCCAGACTTATTCTTTTATCATCTGCATTGTACCATACTGTCCTCACGTTAATTAGTCTTTCTTACATGCTAACATATTGTTTTGTTTGAGCAAATAAAATAAAAATTGCAATATAAGAATATAAAGGTTGTTTCTCTTTTTTTTCTTTGAACAAATGAAGTGCGCATTCTAAACCTGCCTGTTTGAAATGGGCGGTTTGCTTGGCCTGTTCTATGTAATGTCACTTATGTTTGTTGGCTGGGTGTTTTGTTCAGAGCTTTATATAAACAGTCTTTGTTGCAGAGTGAAGTTTTTTCTCACCCTATCCGGTTTACCTGCATTTTATTGCTATTAATGTTTGTTGCTCATACATTAGTTTGAATGATTTCCTTAACTGCTGTTATTTTTTTACCCTACATGTCCACTCTTTCAAAAGGCCTGTGAAGCAACCGACACAATGCTCAGTCCCAAATGTACAACTTTTCAAAATAAAAGCTCAATTTAAATTATAACAGCAAAACTAAAATATTAAAATAATGTTGTGCTTTTACTTTGAAGACAACTTGCTAAAGAGGAGGTGATTCTGGAGATCAGCATTAGTGACACCCTCACATGTCCGTGTCTGAGTCCCATATGGTGAAATGAATCAAATTATCAATGATATACCGACCACTGCTGCAGTTTATGTGAGGGCCTGGAAGAAGACATACACACACACACTGACTGCAACAGAGAACTGGTCGTCTCTTTCTTCAGTTTTTATTAATATATTGAACATATTTTAAGTTCATATTGTACCAAACTCAGCACTAGACTTCCCCAAGTGAGAAGCTGATTAGACAGATACACACATTTGTGGAATTACTGTTGTAGGTAGATGACTTTAAATCACTTGAACAAGGTTAATTAGGAGCATGACTTCAACTTTTCCTTTGCAAGAGGAAGATTTTGTTATTTCTTCTTTCAAAAGTTCTGAATTTTAGATTCCCAGCAGGCCTCATTCCTTCCCTGGTGCGTCCACGTGTGTTGTTCCACCAGGTCAGCAGAAGTCTGATGTGACAACAAGTCTGAATGCTCTACAGCGCCTCATGCTCAGCCTCAGTGGAGGAGAACAGGAAGTGGAAGAATAACCGAATGAGTGCATGAAAAAAAAAAACATTTCTTCAAGCCTGCACGATGAGCGTGCTGTCGGGTAGCTGAGCTGAACGGCTGCTGCGGGGCTGGAGGGGGAAAGGATGACAGAACTGAGGTCCAGACCAAGATTTGAACCTAATCCTGCCAGTTGTGGTTTGCACTTTTCCTTCTTCCTGGCTAAAGGAGTACTCTCAGAGGATTCTTTCTCAATTTTTTGTCATTTTTCTTTCACATCCTTGAACTACAATTTTCTAGGGGGGGAAGAAGTTTACAGTTTTTCTTTTTATGACATAAGAGAGACACGGGTTGTGCAAACGGAAAAAAATGGAGGCAATGTAGAAAGCACAGGCTAAGTATGGACAGTGCACATTTTGATCATTTCTTTCTTACCATTTGAATACAGTATATACAATGATTTGTGGTCATTAATAAGAATAAAGGCTTTAACTTTGTCAATTTGGATTTGTGGATGTGGTATTTTGTAAAACATAAAAAGTCAAATTATCATTCTCTTTGACGATATTAAAGTTATTGCAAAAAAGCAGAATCTATAAACACAACATAATATGTATTTTAAACTCATTAGAATACAACTTATTAAACTTACAAAAACTGCAGTCACCACAAATATTCCTATACCTCTAGTGTGCAGGGGGAGAGAGAGAGACTGCAGGTTAAGATTAAAGGAACTTGTAAAACTTTCTCTGTAACATCACTCTACAACAACTGTCACTTCCTGTGAGCTAAGCGTAGCGAGGTCTATCAGTGCATCTGCAGTTCATCTAAGGTTTCGTTCCACGTGCAACCAGAGAGGGGCTGTGCTGCAGCCAAAGCTGCACCAAGACAGGAAAACACCCTGAGCTGCAGATAGAGAGAGACGAGGAAGCTAAGAAAGCACTGATGCTGTAATTGGAGGGTTTGAATTTTTGAAATCACTTTTCTTCCTCTTTCTCTCGTTCAGGAGCTTTGGGTACAACTGACAGAGGTGTGAACAATGTGCCACCACAGACAGGTCCCTCATATGTGTGGCACGCAGCTGTTATTGACTTTTCTTTGTAATCTTCATGTCTGAGTGACTTGGTTCAAATGCTGAAGGCAGTGTGATGCAAACACTGGGGGGCTTTATGCTATAAAGATACTCCAGTCTAACTGAATGATTTAAAAACAACACAGATGTCATTAGTGCAGAGATTAAAGCAAATTGCAGACTTTTTCTTTAGGGAGATCAAATTAAAATTTAACACCCCCTTGACAATATGAGGTGTGCATAAACCTGTACAGTCTGCTACACACATTGTTTTTGTGGTATTTGCAAGGTTAAGATTATTAGCACTTCTTTTTATCATCTAGAAACATTGAGACATACTGTACCTGTGCTGATGTACTTGTTCCATTCACTCATCACAGTGCACAAATTACTGACACAGTTCAAGTTCCACTCGATCATGTCTTTGTGAGGACAGACCAAGCCAATTTTGAAGCATTTTATTAAATATTACACATTTATATATAATGTTACTTTAATTAAAAATGTAACTTCATGGATCAATGTTGGACAAATGCTAATTTCTATATATATTATTTTATTATTAGAGACTTTTTATGAAAGTATGAAGCAGTTGTTGTCTCTCTGATGAAAAAATGTGTTTATTTTGTGTGATATATTTAGAAATAATATATTTAGAAATACAGTAATTATTTTGTGTAATATATTTATAAATAAAGTTATTGTTTTGTGTGATACATTTAAAAATAAAGTGTCTATTTTGTGTGATATATTTATAAATAAAGTCATTGTTTTGTGTGATACATTTAAAAATAAAGTGTATAATTTGTGTGATATACTTATAAATAATGTATTTATAAATAATATATTAATAAGTACAGTGATTATATCGTGTTATATCTGTAAACACAGTGATTACTTTGTGTGGTGTGTTTATTTTGTGTTATATATTTCTTCACCTCTTCCATTTTGTCAGACAGAAATTTGAGTAAACACAGTCGTGACTCTGTTAAAACCAATCGCGGCTGAGCGCAAATCCACCGACAGCCAATGAGATTGCAGCACCGTTTGAAATGAACGCTGAGCGAGCCAATCAGCGGGCTTCGCGCCTTCCTGCTGACTGGTGGGTTTAGCCCAGAAAGGGAGGGAGAAGGAGTCTACGTCAGTCGTTCTGCAGGGACACTTTTTAAAAAATATTAAAGTGGATTTATTAATCCCGCGTGTTTCCGAGGAATATCTCACCACGTCTTCGCACTGGAATCACGCGTCTAAGGTGAGTGCAGCCGTGCGGGGCCCTGCGTGAACGGCGCTCAGCGGTAAACCGCGTTGTGCGCCTCTTTGTTAGGAAAGTGTTGTTTAGCCGAAGCTAACTCAAGCTGGCCGTGTAACGGGGCTGCAGGCTCCGGCTAGTTCCTGGAATCTAAACTTGTGTGCTGCCATCGCTTCCCTAACAACTCCTTGTGTTTTTGAATACAAGCTCTCGACAGTGCTGCGACGTTAACTGCGGCGTTGGCCGTGCTATTCCTCAACGTCCAGATTAACGCTGCGCAATCGTACGGAGTGAGAAATTGGACGGCGCCTACTTAAAGTCTTTATTACGCCGTAATGCTAACATTAGCACGGTCTGCTCTTTGCTCGTGTGTCGGAAGTGTTTCCAGTGCGTCCTCGCTGAACTTGCTCCTGTCAAACTTATTCGTACGTGCGAGCTGGCTGATTGTTTGGCTTCCTCGCCCGCGCTGTTTGAACGCGTGACGTTTTCCCTCCTCGGAGCGCAACAACACGCACTTTGGCCGCATTTCGTTAAAGACACAGCTCTCGCACCATCAGACTGGACTGTGTGATGAGGAGATCTGTGGCTGATCTCAACCCAAACACGCATCGCGGTGTCCTGCGGTGACATGTTTAAACTTGCTGGGTGTTAAAGGCTCACGCTGTGGGGCAGTCGTGCACTGCTCTTTTGCGGGGAAATAAACCAGACGTGCATCTGCAAAGCGGAGACATTTAGTCCTCGATTGTGTCTCATTGAATCTGAACACTGTTAAAGTAAAGCTTCGTTTTAATCTCTGTCATTGTCAGCGTTTGTTTCCCGTTTAATTGACTCATTGTTGCCCCTTGTGGCAGTTGTGGTTAAAAACGCCCACGACAAGCGAAGCTCTCTAACTGTCCGGTAGCTGCGGGCCTCCGGCCTCAGGGGGCAGCACTGAGCCCAGCCCGGCTCCAGAGCTCCTTGGTGACGCGAAGAAGGCGCGGTGTTAGAAAAACTAACATGGCCATGCGACACTAAGGAGAGGTTTAGGTTTTATCCCAAGTATCCGCTAAGTTTTTTGGTTTTGCAGGAGAGTTGACTTCCAGGAAGAGAACTGACTGGTTGGTTCTGTAAGTGAACATTTAGGTGAAGTTCCCCATCTCAAGAACATCGCATCCCGGGGATTTTAGAACTCAGCACAACACCTAGACTGTCTGATCCACTGTGTGGTCCTCAGACCTGGACTGATGTAGAGTACCCTCACTGACAGAATGTTTAATATGGTCTGGGACATGGATCTGGCATTGAATATAGGATTAAACTTTGTGTTCAGTTAATTGCTCAGAAAAGTGAACCATGCCAGCCATTCCTCAACCCCTGCAATTGTTAAATAATATTTGTTATGCCATGTGAACTGAACAGGTTGGCGCCTCCTTGGTGGGAGTTAAAAACTAAATCCACGTGTTGTTGACGTTCCGAAGTGGCTGCATGCCAGGTTTTTAGTGGGGGGTGTTCTGCCTGTGGGGGGTGGTCTGCCTGCCTTCAGTTTAAAACTCCACCCACGGTCCAGCCTGGGATCTGATGGGAAGCTCATCCGTCACGATCCGGCCCTGACCTCCACATCCCATATGGAACTGGGCAGACGAGGCAGGAGAGCAGCGCAGGGACTGACGTTGGGTGTGTCGTACTGAGGTGGTTTCACACAGATGTGCTGGATTTGTGTGTGTTTTTCAGGATTACGATCATTTACCAGTGGACTAAGGGTTGACTGCATGTGTCTAATTCCTACTGCCTGTTTGTTGTAAACCCGGTGAGCTGATTTACCAATTGACTGTTGAAGCTTTAGCTGTAAATTACTGCAGTTATTTAGTGTTTATAAAGGTTTATAAGAGAGGGATGTAGACATCAGATGTAATTGCACACAGGAGTTTATACTTATTTTAGCACAGATCGTGAAGTTTACCTTTAATGGGATTTTCTTTAGCTTAATTTCTCGTGAAATGAAGGGTTTAGAATCACATCCTAAAACAACCAATTATACCTCTAATTATAACCCACACTACCTGATTATTGCTGAAGCACATGGCTGTGGTAACTGCTGGAATTTTAATTAAAGCTGCTGATGGGAGGCTCTAAATCTAGTATGTGGCTAAGATTTGTTTTGCTCTAACCAAAGTCTTAATATGTTGAAGTCTGTGTTATCATCCATCTAGTGACTACATTTGTTGTTAAAGCTCTACTAATCCTACTTTGTTTGGCTTTCTCTTTTTTCTCATGTGGTCAGTGGCAACAGTGATTTACAGGAACAGAAACATGCACGTGCTTAATCTTATCTCAGTGAATATGTTTTTATGAATGAGCTGAATGAACGTATATCTGCATTGGTTAACTTTTCAATTTACAATTCCTTTGAGCTGCCCATCATTTAGGTAATGTTTTCTGCAGCTTTGAAGTATACCATGTTGGTCCACAGAACTTTACCGCTGTCATAAAACTGACCTGCTGATACCGCCGCTGTTGGCCCAGCTGAATTTCATAGCCTTCTTCAAAGTGGCTGCCTGAGTTGGCAAACAGCCACAGTCAAGTGTAACAAAACTTTTACAGTAGTTGCTCTAAAACCCTTGCATGGTCGGCTGTGACTTGAATGGCTCTTTCAGGCAGACAGCTTTGGGTAAACCAAGCAGGGACAGACCTGTCAGCAGTTCTGCAGTAGTGGTTTTCTAGACACTGAGCCTCCCTAGTCCCTAATGTTCCATAATGCTGACCTTGCCTGGCCCACCTCATTGTTTCCAGCGGTGCATAGTACGAGGATGTTGTCATTCTAAAGTGTGAGGTTGCCCGGTCTCTCAAAATGTTTGGCTGGTATTGAAGTAGTAAACCAAGAGGGTGCTCAGTTTGATCAGATGTATAAACACAGACACTGTTTTTCAACCTGATGATAAACAGAACAGACGTAGGTGGTGTGTGATGACGTATTCCTAGTGTAATTCGTACTCTTGTACTTGAATGAATCCAAAGCAGATGAAGTGAAAGTAATCTGAGTCATTTGTATAGCTAATGCTCTCAACTCTAAGGAGTGTAAACACATGTGCTGAGGCACCTTGATAGTGATGCAGTACAGAATTTATTTAATAAGCTGACATTTTGGCACTTATGTACCTTCAGTGCATTAAGAGCAAAACAAATCACATCATAATAAAAGCTTCACAACAGCCTGTGTGCATAGAACAATCACAGTAGATATAAACTTACAAAAGTCGATATGGATTATGTAACAACAATTTCTCATGTATCATTAAGCCTGATATAAAAGTAAACTGCAAAATCAAGGGTAGATATCTCTAGTCAACAAGAGATTATATATTTTATATATAATATAGAAACATAGATGAATAGATAAATACTATCTTCACATACCATTTGAAAATACAAAATATCCTATCAGCGGCGTTGCAACAAGAAAATCACAATACTTAAATGAGAAATACAATAATTAGCTGGACATCAACTTTGTCCCTAAGTCTGATTCCATAAATTATACAAATAATACGATTACTAAAGTAGCACAATAATAACAGCACTGTGTAACTTCAAATCAGGTAAAGCTAAATGATGTTCATCACAGACAAATAACAGGGTCTTTGGTCAAATTAAAAATAGCCTTTTTAACTATTGTGTTTTTGGTGAAAGGATGAAATCATCACTACACACCTGCCAACTTAATTTCACACATCAACAAACAAAATTAAACTTTTATTTATTCTGTGTAGTTGAGAAATTCCCTCCTGCGTTTTGTTCTTAAATGGTTGTAGCTGTTTGTTATGCTGTGGTCAGAATGGTTTACTCATTTCTGGTCATGTTGTAATCATAATGGGAATTTGGTGGTACCATATCTGTTTTGGCTCAAAAGCATCTTGCAGCTCAAACTGTTCTGATTGTTGACAGATTGTTTTCGTTGCTGTTTTATTTTCAGAAGGTAGAATTCCGTCCAGCTTTTTATCAGGAGCTGAATTATCCTTAGAGGTCTCCACTGCTGTTTGAAAGACTTTTTAATAAAATAGATACTTATATCTTTGATCTCCTTTAATTCTGTTTCTCTTGCTGCCTGTTTCCTCCCTCGTGTCTCCTGTCTGTCTGCTCTTGTGTTTTTGTATTTCCTGTTCTCACTCTCACTGTCATAAAACTTTCTCTCACTAGTTATCTGTTTCACTCTTCCCAGGTCAATGAGGATGCCTAGTGTGAAGTATCAGAAAGGGGACAAGGTGATGGGCCGCTGGCCTGGCAGCAGCCTGTACTATGAGGTGAAGGTCCTGGGCTTTGACATCACAAGTCAGCTCTACACTGTCATCTACAAGGATGGCACCGAGCTGGAGCTCAAGGAGCAAGACATCAAGGTAGAATCAGTGTCACTTGCTCTTTTCACAGTCACGCTTGAAACAATATGTGCAGGGTCTTGGTTTAAATATTTCTTGTGTGTTTGGGTTAAGTCTCTAGGTTGTCAGTTGTTTAAGTAGTGTAGCCTTGAACCAGATACATTTTAATCATTTCAATAAGTTAGTTTAAAGATGTTGAGATGGAACTTGTGCAATATCTTTGCTCAGTTGTCTGATGAATAGTTCAGACTGTAGACATTCACAGAATCTGATATTATATGTGATATGCTAAGATCATTGGGTTTCTTTCAAATTGTTTTCCTGTCATCACAAAATTCACATGGCATTGTGTTTATGAACAATGCTGTAACCAATCTACATTTTTACTTTTCAAATAAGTCAAAAGTAAAAAATTCAGCTCTTGACAATTTAGAAATATGACAATGTCTCTGTGAGAAAATTACTTGGAGACATGTCATTCTACTGCAGACACATCATGGATGACCTTTCTTGACCCCACTGAATAATAATTTCTCAATCGTGTATATTTGTTTTTTATGCACCATTGAGTTCGACATATTTATAATATCTTTAACCTTGTAACCCTAGTACTAATGTTTACTAATGTCTCCTCATGTTTCAATCACTGTTTTCCTTCAGAATTTTGCTGGCTTCCAGACTCGCTCCCGCTCTCGATCACCGGGCCGTCGTCGCAGCCGGTCCCGCTCTCCAGCAAGGACAACACGGCGCTCGTCCTCTCGTACAGCAGCGGCCGTCGCTGCTGCAGCTGGGACAGACAGTTCGCTGTCATCCAGTCAGGATACAAGGCTGAAAGATGCATTAGAGGTCAGGCTGGGCCCACTGGTAATTCCCAGTTCTCAATTTCTTATTGCAGCACTGATAATGCTAGAGGAGCTCATGTCATCAGAAAGAGGTTCAACCATCAGACACCCAAGCCAAAGAGTACAAATCCCACATTAAAAAACACACATACATGTACAAGTAGTGTGATAGTGTTATACAATAAGGCTTAATCTTGGTTTGTTGTGGCCATATAAGGTCCTGTGCACTGCAAAATGGCCCATATAACATAGAAATAGTGCCTAGATCTCAAAGACAGCAATGATTATTCTTCCAGGCCTACTTAGAATTGCCCGGCATGATCCTGATCATCGTCAATTGTCCCATCTCATCAGCTCAGTTTCGTTGTGGGGAAACATGTCAGGTTCTGTTTCTGATTTTGAGCACAAATTCCCTGTGTCTGGTCCTCACGTTGTGCTTTTTTTCCCCCTTCCCTCTTTGTCTCCATCTCCATCACTCACCCCTTATTGATGTGCAGCAGCAGACAATGCCAGCTGAGAACAATAGCAACAATAAACATGAAAAGAAAGAGGAGAATAACACGGCTAACAAAGTGAATGAGGTGAGTTCTGTTTTGTATTTGAAAAGCTGTTCATGTATTTGGAGCTCCTGATAGTTGCAACTCCTTAAACTCAAATGAATGGTTCAATTTTGAATGGATAGAAACATTAACGTGCACAGCTTCTGTCAATACACAGTTAAACAAAAACCAAATTCATTCAATGCATTCAAGTGACAGACAGATTAAGTATGAAAGTATGAAAATGTCCAGACATAATTCTTCTCTTGTATGTTGTATAAAGAGTATTTATGCTAGTTTTTAATTCTCAAGCCTTTTTACTTTACACTTCACTTGAGCAGAAATATGTTTTTACGAGATAGGTTGACAGACATATGACAAAATAACATGCATTCCAGGCAATACAGGCTTTCCAATATTGAATGGGCTTTGAGGCAGGTTAGAGCCAATGGAATGTCATGATGTGCACATGTGGGGGGGGGCACTGTGTGTGGATATGTGTTTTTCCAACTGAGAGGTTCCCCTCACAAGATCATGCTTTAGTTGGTCAGTCACATGCTGTTCAAACATGTGCAGCCTCTTTACTCTCCCTGCTTTTGGAATTTTCTAGACAACTGGGGAGCAGGGGACGACTGATGGAAAAGTTTTACAAACTCAGATCCCACAGAGCTGTGAATGTGTAATGGAGGGAATTTTACTGTTGGATTTGATTTCTAATCATTGCTCATGATTTGACACAAGATCACATCTTTTACTGGAAAGTTATTTAGAGGTGTTCATAAAAATACGTTGTTAAATTACATACTCTCAGCATTTTCCACAGAATTAATTCAGTCTCTGGCGGTAACTTGGGTTCATGCTCACTAAGGTCACTCTCATGCACAACAGATTCTGAGGTATGCAGACTCAAGAGTGATAAGTTCTCCTGCGGGAGAGTGCATTGCATGCCAAAACTCTGAGGTCTGATTGTCTGTGTGGACAGTAATATTATTGTGCTGCACACACCAAGTTAGAAATCAATTTTATTATTATGAGATGCCAAAAAATTCAAATTATGCAACTGTGGCGGTCCACCACAGTCTAGACAATTCATAGGATTCACTGCACACTATTGCTCAAGACCAGGGTCATCTAGAGTATATATGTTTTAAATATTAAAGATCTGCCCATGCAAACAGACTTTCTCAGCTTTATAATTATATTGTAAATATATTTTCTAATTTCTGTATAATTAAGAAGAACAATTGGCTTAACTTATATTTAATATCATTGAGGACTAAACACAGTAAAATCATCATGCACCCGTGCTCAGTGCATCCTGATAACGTCACCAATCTTGTACTTCCATTTGCCTGTGTGTCGAATATTGTCTGCAATAATCCAAAATCCTAAATGTTTCTACGGAAGGTGGAGGCTGAGTCTGAGAAGAACCTGGGCCGTTACAATCTGCGCCGCAGGAAAGATGACGGAGGAGCAAAACCAGCTGCAGTCGTAGCAGAGCAGCAGGAGAAGGAGGCCGTCAAGGAGGCTGCACCTCCTGCTTCCACCCTCTCCACCCCACTGGACTTTGGAGGGAAGATAGGTAGGATACAGAATGTACAGGAAGTGCAGTTTCATATCAAATGCATAACATAGCCTGAGGTGCAAATTCTTACCAAGTTCAGTTCACAATCAGATCGTACAAGTGTAGTGCTGTTAAAGACCACAAATTAATTTAGTCATATTTCATTTCATTTTTTTAATCCAATCACTGGGAGAATTGGACAAACCTAAGATGTTATAGAGCTGTATTACATTTGTGATAAACTATGCACAGCTTTTTGATTTACATAACAATGAAACTCTGCCATGTATGTTGGTGATCATAACAGTTATGGAAATTATTTCTGTATGTGTGTGTTTGATGATGGTGGTTTAGCTGGACACACAGAAATCTTATTATAAATCTGTTATTCCTCTAGGAGCATATTTCTGGCTGCTCTTTTTGCCGTCCTGGGTTCTCTTCCTGGTGCTCCAAGTTAACCTGGAGGACCCCAGCCTGTTCAACTTCCCCCCGCCACTGCCCCCTCTTGAAGCCTTTTGGGATGTCCAGGCCCTTGGCTTTGTAATCCTGTGGATCCTGTTCCAGGCCCTCCTCTACATCCTACCTGTTGGAAAGGTGTGTGAGAAGAGCTGTCATCTCTACACACAAGTGTGTAACATTAATAGAGCAGTATTTTTTGCCCATTCCAATTTCCCCATTTCCCTTTGTCTACTTTTTATGTTTCCATGTGAAACCCAAAATTTGAGTCTCCTGTGAAAACACACACTGCACATGCACCAGTATGAACAGGTTGTCAGTTTAAAAAAAGAAAAGAAAAGCTGAAAAATATTGACATGACACTCAATTTGTTCGAATATATTCTAACATGAATTATTTTAGTGATAGCTCAAGAGGACATGCAATAGGTCAAGCTGACAGTGATCATCCTCTGCTGGATCACGAGACTGTATATTTTAAATTGGAACAGGTCATTCCAGGTCCAGTGAAGAGACAGACCTGCCAGTATGTGTATGTTTGCAGTGTTTAATTCCCGTCCTTGGTCCTATTCTTGTGAAACGGTTGCACACACTACGTGTTCACGTATGCATAGAAGTGTGTGGTGCACATTTGTTATAGTCAAGCAGAAACTATGAACTGGCCTCAAGCAAGGTGGTAGCTGACCAGCTGCATGTAGTCACTACGTACTACTTTGTGTGATTATACAGGAAGACACATGAACTGGCGCATGACTTCTTCAATTTAATCGCTCTGGCATGAGGCACCAATTTAATTATTAATCAGGAAAAAGCAAGGTCTTTGTCTTCATGTCTTCCTCTAAATGAGATTACTCTGTGCGAATCTAAATTATAAATCCCATACGCCCATCTTTTGTTCTGGTTTTCAGTCAAAGTTTTACTTTCTTAGATCAAAAAGTTGATGAGTGTCTTCCACCTTTAGTCACTAAAGTGCTATGGTTGGATGCATTCAATATAAACTTAAATGAATTGAAGTGAAGCTTGTGAACTGACTGTTTACATACTGTTTAACATCCAGAGTTGCTCTTTTAAACTGCAGACAACCAGATATTGTTTGAGTTCAGACATAGAAATACTGTGATATGGTTTTCACACAGGCTCAGACAGGCATTACACACACATGTATGAAGCTGGCAGAGTAAACTGTTTACTATCCAGTTCAGCTGGAGCTTCACCTGGTAACATGTAAAAAAAAAAAGTTCAGGGTTGCAGTTCATGTATGAAAGCAGCATGACTCCCGTCGGCCCACTCTGAATGGATCCTGTGGAGCTCTGGCATTTACACCTTCTGTGAGCTGAAATGTCATAATGGAGTGGCTCCATATCCAGTGGATGTGATCATGCTTGTGTGTGAGTCAACCTCACGTGACGAAAATACACTTAGTCATCTGTTAATGTCATTATTCTGTTCCTGTCTGTCTCCAGCTGAGCGAGGGAATGCCACTGAGGTCTGGGGAGAGGCTGAAGTACAGAACCAATGGTGAGGCTGTGTGAAGCAATGCTCACTGTAACTTTTACAATTAAGTATCAGGTTAGAACCCTGGCTCATGTGTTATTGTGACTTGAACTACAAGCATACTTTTGTGGTGATTGACATTTTCACATGTTGAATATACACTTAGTTGGAAGTTTATAAGGTGCAGTCAAATATAACAGTCCTATAGAATTATACCATATTCTAATAATAGTTTTAAAGAGTATTTACAGGTGTCCCTTAACCATTCATATCAATGAGTGTACTCTGACTCCAGCCATTATAATCTGAACATTATATGTAGGTAGTATTTATGACACTATTAGACCACATTAGCTTAAGATAGGTTTACCTAATAAACTGCCATCTGAGTTTATATTTTGTTTCATTGTTGTGTTTATTGAATTTAAAGCTGTTGAGTTTAACTTCCACACTTTACTCCCTGCAATTCTCCGACTTTGTGTAACCTGCTCTGTTTGCTCACAGGTTTCTTTGCCATTGTGGTGAGTGCCATGGCCGTGGCAGTAGCTGTGCACCAGGGTGTTGACCTCACCTACATCCACAGCCACTTCCTACAGCTCGCCATGGCCTCATTGCTGGTCTCCGTCCTGCTCAGCGTCTATCTGTATGTCCGCTCGCACAACGCTGCCCCAGAGCAGCAGGCACTGGGGGGAAACTCTGGTAAGCAGAAATATCCCAGGAAACGAATCACCAATCAGATTCATTCTCATCCTTTAATGACTGTTTTGGACTGTTGCCTGCTTTGAACTTGCACACTCAGATTTATTCCACCTGTCCTTATTTTTTTTCCCCCAGGCAATGTAGTGTATGACTTTTTCAAAGGCCGTGAGCTCAACCCTCGCATTAAAGACTTCGATCTGAAATTCTTCTGTGAGATGCGTCCTGGACTGATCGGCTGGGTGAGTTGTTATGGGACACTAGGGTTGGGCGATATGCTTGAATGTTTTGCCACCATCACCCCAACAACCGCAGATTGATATGTTTGCATGTGTGTGTGCAGCAGCATCAGTGAACGCACTTATAGAAAAGCTATGACCACTTGTGATCGCATCTCATTCCCCCACTCTGTGTTCAAATACACAAATTTGTTTTCATGAAGACCAAATTCTATTGTCTTTACCTAGTCTGTGGGTGTGTCAGTGAGAGATGGAAGTGAGAGAGGAGATATTTTGTGCCAGTTCCTTGAACATTTGTTATCAAAAACACAATCACCCAAAATGCACCTGTAATCTGTTGATTGTAGAGTTGATGAAGGGGCCTGTCATATTCAACACACATTCCTTTGTAACCTCAGACATGTAGCATGGCTGCACTGATCACCTTGAACAGTCATTGGAAGAACGTTTCTGTTCTGTTTTATGCATTGGTTGTTTTTCTGTTCATCTGTGTCTCCACAAAGTGACACAGATCTGCCAGGATGATTAGGAAACGATGACAACGACGTAATTCTTCTGTCTCTGATTGTTCAGTGTTTGATCAACTTTGCGCTGGCTCTGGCTGAGATGAAGCTGCACGGTCTGGATGCTCCATCGTACAGCATGATCCTCGTCAATGTCTTCCAGCTGCTCTATGTGGTGGACGGCCTCTGGAATGAGGTAAGCCCAACAAAATGTGATGTCAGTATAATAGAACTAATAATTACACGTGCAGGTAAACATCCTATAAAAGCTCCTTACTGCATTAAACCAAATGTGTTCAGACCTAATGAATAATGGCTGAATGTGTCTGTCTCCCTAGGAGGCCATCCTGACCACCATGGACTTGATGCATGATGGCTTTGGCTTCATGTTGGCGTTTGGAGATCTGGTGTGGGTTCCTTTTACTTACACCCTGCAGGCTTATTACCTGGTCAGCCACCCCAACTCCCTGAGCCCCCTAGCAGTTGCAACCATCGTCACACTCAAACGTGAGTAGGAGCAAAGCATCAGGCTCAGTTTACTGTTTGTATGAATTCAGGATTTACGCTATTGGCTTCATAAAATGCATCTTTATATTTTGTCAAGCTATATATTTTCAGGAAGTATATGTATCCCCTCAGTGTGGTTTTGCTAACGTTTCTCTTGGTCTCTCTCTCACTCTCAGTCATTGGCTTCTACATCTTCAGGAAGTCCAACTCTGAGAAGAATGCCTTCAGGAGAGACCCATCAGACCCCAAACTGTCCTGTAAGTTGTCCTGCAGGTGTAGGGCTATGTCTTGGTCCTGTAATGAGATGTTTTTTCTCCTATACTTATCTTTATTTCCTTCCAAATGAAACTGGTGAAACAGTCAGTCAGACAGTCGTCTCAATCACAGTCACTTGCATGGAACTAACGAGGTCGTAACGGTGGTGGAAACGAGCTACAGTGTGTTTTAAATGAACAAGAACTTTTTAAGTGTGAATAATATTTAAATTCAGTATCTGTCATTACATTCAGCATTTTCAGAAACTTGGCTCACAAATAATTTCAGCATGAAACACTCAACAAAATGCTGAAAATGCACTTTTATTAACATCAAATGTTACAGAAATATCCACAACAAATAATGTGAACAACAAACCCCTCCTTTCTTCCTCGTCGTTGTCCTTTTTTGTGTCGTTAACTTCTTGTCTTTCTCCAGATCTGAAAACGATCCCCACAGCGACAGGGAAGAGTCTCCTGGTCTCTGGATGGTGGGGTGTGGTGCGTCACCCGAACTACCTGGGAGACCTGATCATGGCTCTGGCCTGGTCCCTGCCCTGTGGTGAGTCCTGGCTATGAGACAAAAAATGATCTGAAACTTCTTAGTGTTCACTGTTAAAAAATGTATAAGCAAAGTGAAACAGACTAGAAACCATGAAGGATTAGTGCTTTTTTTTTTTTTTTGTGGAGAACTTGAATTTATTGCTGTGAACAGATGGGAGATATACTCACAGGTTAATCTGTCTCGTCTGTCCTCTGTCTCAGGCTTCAGCCACCTCCTGCCGTGGTACTACATGATCTACTTCATCATACTGCTCGTGCACCGGGACTCCCGTGACATGAGCGACTGCAGGAGGAAGTACGGCTCAGCGTGGGACGAGTACTGCCGGACTGTTCGTTACCGGATCATTCCCCGCGTCTACTGAGGAGCCTGACGCTGGACACTCGAGCCGAGGCCTTTCTTTAAACCAGTATCAGAAGGCTCGCCAAAAAAAAAAAAAAATGAACAAATTGACTTTTTAGATAAAAAAAACAAAGAATTTTTCAAAATCTTTCTGGACTGAGAAGGCCACAGTACATTGAAGTTTTACGTGGAAGAAAAAGACTCATTGGTTTTATGAACTGTTTGAAGAATTTTCTTTTTAAATAGAAAATACCTAAAAAAAAAAAAATTACTTTAAGATCTTGCAAAATGATGGGAAAAACAAACACCTCTGCTAGGAATGTCTTGTTAGGATGTATATTTTTGTATATACACTGTTGTTTTAATACTTGGAAGAATAATACACCACCTGCATACTTATACCGATAAGTTTTACGCTTTGTTCTGATATTCAAAATGACAGTATCATCTTTGCTTTTATGAATAATGTTGTAAGTATACCCTCCTATAATTTTACAGCTTGTGTATATTGTCATGGTTGGTATTGAAAATGCTCACTTTTTAATTATCTGTAAATTGGATCCAGTGACTTTATATATAAAGATGGACGACTTGTCTCCACTTCCTCCCACACTGAAAAAATGAAGCCAAACTATTACAGCTGCCATGAGCAGTGATCAGGTAGCATCAAATCCCCAATTAAAAAAAACTGATCAGAAACTTCAGGACATGTCAGCGTGATAAGAACTCCCTAAAGTGATATACATCTTTGACAAAATGTAATTTTACTTGTACATTCTTTTCAGTTAAATCCATTTTACATTTGCCCTCATGAAAGTTTATGACATGTAATGTAGCCAGCCACCAGAGGGCACCCCAGGTGTTTTACAGCTTCACTTTTTAATTGTCATGTCGGCCATCTTTGTATACGGTCACTGGCTGGAACTAGGATCATGTTTCTCAGGACCCAGAACTTTTTTAAGAAAGTTGAACTAGGAAAGTTTTGTCATGATCATTTTGTTGTGTATAGCTTTATCAAGTAGCTTCGACTCCAGAGTGTAAAATGATTTAATGATGAGGTCTCAAGAAAAAAATGCACTAATGCTTGAAGGCATTTTTGTTTTTTTTATCAGTTCTTCCAAAGTGTATTTGATTCGGGCTTTGCTACCTCAGGTTCCCTCAGTGTCCAGCTCTCCCTCGTCTGTCCTCTTGGGGGCAGTATGTGTAATTAAGAGTGTGATATCTCTGCTGAAGAGAGGAAGGATTAGTTTGATTTTTATTCTACAGTAATGTCGTCATCTAGTGGGTCACCACATCCCAGATGTACCATGCTTTTATGATGAAATTCCAAACGGCGTTTATTTTTGTCTATTACTTCCTGCGTTTCTGTAGCATTGATGAAACATCCGTATTTCTGTCCTGCTAGTTGCTGGAGCCTCATGAAGGGGTTGATTTCCCACCACTGCCACGTGAATTTGTTTATTTACCCGTTTCAGCCCCAACTAGCTCGGCCACATTTAGACTGTGACAACATGCGGTGCTGTGAACTGTTTATAACCTGTGCATGTGCAAACCCAAAACAAAGTATTTTTATGCCCGTGCAGCTGTAGATACACAAGTAGCAAAAAAAAACTATACTTAGCTAGTAATTTTTTATGCTGTGCTGACTGAAGACCCTGTAAATATATATTTTTTAATCATGTTATTTTTTTGAGTCAAAGAATTGAAAGTAGTGATGTTTCTCAGTAGATATTTAATGTTGCTTTTTTTAAGTTAATTATCAATTTGACCACTGTAGTTATGTTTACAAATAGATTTGCCACATTTCTGGGCATTTCTTCAAAATGTATTTAAAAAAAAAAAAGAAGTATAATGGTCAATACCTTCCTGGCCAGAGTAAAAAGAGTTGAATACTTCAGATAGCACCACCCTGTACAGCCCAGGACACATTATGGTGATTGTCTTCTTGATAATATGGAGGTAAAGCTTCTCTCTCTGGTTTGGTCTGAGTAGAGATCAGGATGTATTGTAATATTTGACACCAGTGAATGAGAAGTGAAGCTCAGTGAGGATTCATCTAAACGCCCATCTGTACAAATGTTGCAGCTTCAAATAAAGATTTACAGTATTTCCTTTTTTCCTCTTGCCGTCTGTGGATTTAGTTCATTTGTAGGTTCGTATCTAAGCTCTCTGTTTCTAAGACGTGGTGCCCATTTTGTCTCTGCGTGGACAAAGTCATTATTGTCATATTAAGTGTGAATTAGAAAAGCTACAATGTGCATCTTCCAACAGATGGAGTCAATAGAAGTAATTCGATTTTTACACGTTGCTGTAAAGTAATAACTTTGAAACAGCTGCCAGAACTAAACCATAATAGATTTATTTGTATTATTCTGAAGACTCAACAAAAACTGAATACATTTGCATCCATGCATTGTTTTAATGGGTTATACTGTAATTGAACCATCATCTCCAAATCACACGGAGGACATGAAGTGAGTTTGAATTTTTATTGTCCTTTGTTAATGTTTTGTTTCTGTCGACAAATACTCATCACCCAGTTAAAGAACCTTCTCATCCTCCTCAGTGGACTGTTATCTTTGGCAGGTGGAGTCTCGTCTCCTCAGGTGGACTGACGGATTCTTCTGCAGCTGAACCAGGATCCTCCTCGGCTGCAGCTCCTGTCCAATCCTGAGTGAGTCGTGTCTTCATTGCTGTCCCAGGGAGACTTCAGGCGCCCTGTGTGTGGAAACCAGAATCATAAGAGTGGGACAGAGTCTTACTGATGTAAAAGAGGAGCTTTGCACATTGAACCCACCTGTAATGCAAAGCGCAAAGAGTCTTTTTCCCAGTCGTGTCCTCTGAAGACAAGAAGCCAAGATTTCATCCCATCATTTACACACGAGGTCCTGCTGCCACAAGATGGAGCTCTTTTCCACGAGATAACTCCGACTGTCTGTCTGCTGCAGAGAAATCGACCAGTGTTCACACCCACATACTGTATTCTGTATTGTATTGTAGAGCTGATGTGTTAGGTTCATCATAAAAAAGACAAATGACAAACTGAGTATATATGTTGACCACATGTTTCTGTTTCATGAGGAGTCAGCATCTTAACTTTTAACTCAGATTAATTGAAATAAACTAAATTGAATTTGCTGCAGTGCAGAATCAATGCACTGAGCTTTAAATTCCCTTTGAATCTGTGTGTTACTGTCAAAGCTAAACCAGCACTCCCAGCCCTCATTACCTGAGGGGAGCACATACTGCAAATCTAATAGGTCGATAAAATGTTGTTTGTCATAACAACACAATTACTTTACTTACTTAGAACATTGTTTGGTCATAATTTAAATTCTTACATTGATTTAATTATTTTTAAGACTTTTCACATGGTTTCACAGGTTCACTTTTTTTGCCCTTGTGGCTCAGAATAAAAAAATAATCAAAGTACAACTATATATCCATGTTGTTTGCTATTGCCAACATGTTGCTATATGTTTGAGCTCTGTTTGATGTAATTGCTGAGAAAATGAACAAAGTGGAGTCTGATGCTAAAAAATAGATTCAATGACTTTGTTACCTGGATCCAATCATTAAGGCAGGTTCTTAAATGAAGCATCGCTTTAGTTCATGCAGGACACGGAGTCATGTGCTCAGCTGTCAGCTACTGATTCCCACCAATCACAGCCCATTCTCTCAACAAAGCAGTCCCTTTAAATACGACCTCATCCTCGCTGATCCCTGCTCAGCTACACTGCCACCCACCACCTCGGCCTCCACCTTTCTAGCACCAAGTCCAAACACGGTCGCGGTAAACAATAGGGGGTTCTGCACATGTTCCCTGTTTTATCCTAACTCGCTGCTCGGCTAATCCAGGGAACAGCCAAATAATGGAGCCTTGAGCGCCAATCATAACTGTATCCCCATTTGCAACAAATGGGTAAATCATGACATAGTGTTCCTGACTGAACTTTAGTTTGTGGTTTTTCTTCTAAAAGTTGCAGGAAATATTTTTAGAAAATCTGCCAAAAGGGCAATAGATCAGGAAACACATAAAGACACACAGCTATGAAGAGTTCAGTTTATTCTAGGATTTTTGTTTTGTTGCAGAAAAGGAGGTCATGAGAAAAAGAAGCAAAAGCGATGAGCTGAAAGAGGCTATAAGTCTCTCAGCTGTCACCTCTGACTTTATACAAAGTTATCACATCTATTGTTATTATGAAAATATTGAACAGTTCACCTTTGACAACATGCAGACACTTCATCACAGACTGAAAGACGGGAACAACTCACTTTAAATAGATTTTACCTGAACAGTGTGAGTTGACCTCAGTCATACATCACGTGTCCTGGATGTGCCAAGGAAATGGACCGTTTGCAGGTGGCTCTGCCAATAGAGCTGAATCAAATCACATAACCCTCTGAGGACAGGGGAGCTGCCTGGGGTGAACTGTCCATTTGTTGCCATGGCAATGCACATCTTCTGTGCCATTCGCTGCCAGCCTGCACACACACACACACACACACACACACACACACACACACACACACAAACTTTTACCACAATCTTTGTGGGGACACATCAGCATGATTTATTCTCTAGCTGTTGAGTTCGGTTCAGTTTTGGACCCGAGGAGCGGAACACAGGCAAGGACACAATAAGCAGCTGAAGGTCTTTTATTGAAATGAAGGCAGAGTGAGCAGGAGTCTCTCTGACGGAGCCCAACAAAGAGTGGAGGGAGACACTTAAGGACAGGAAGTGAAACAAAGGAGACCAGCATTACTGCAAAATAAAGCGGGACTTGAAAACATGAAACTGTTCCATTTCAAAGGCTCCTTCAAATGCAGCCAGCAAATGCGTCCCTCCGTCCCCATGAAGCGAAGGCTTCAACCAGTGGATCCATCCCAGCCCAACCTATCCCAGGATTCATTGCACTTTGGTGATTAATAGGCTGCGTTTGGAAATAATATCCTCTCTCCTTTCCTAACCACTTTTCCTTGACCTCAATGGAATACGTCACAAGGTCAAGGAAAGATTTGAAGGAGAGGCGGTAAGGAGTTAGAAGAGGAGAACCACTGTGCAGAGAAAATCTAACTCCACTTACACTCTACGTTTTATTTATCACAGAAGATTTGCACAAAATGTTCCCGGTACTTTGTGCTGCAGGCAGTTATAATAAAGTTTCCTGTCCGAAACAGAATGAAATGTCCTGAGAAAAGGTGTTTTCAGTTTATATACAGACACTTATTATGGAGGCTGCTGAAATACTCATGTCATTTGACTTTCCCAGTGCAGCCATATAGTTTTTCAAAGAGGCAGTAGCTCTGGCAAGCAACAAGACGTCCCATCAAGTTTTAACTCAACCGAACACCTAACGTTACACAAGTTAGAACATTCCAAGTGGCATTAAAACATGCGTCACGTCCAACTTCAGCTCTGACACTAGACATCATCAATAAGGACGGGACGAGCGGAGAGAGACCAACTGGGGACGAACAAGACAAGGCAGAGAGTGGATGCAGCAAATATACAGAGGGGAATGAGTTGCTGCTTCACTGAAACACTAAAACAACCTAATCACAGCTTAACACCTTATCCCAACTCAAACCTGATTCTAACCATCACCGTAAAGCCAAGGCCCCTGAAGTTAAAGGTGCACTAGAAAATGTCCATGTGCAGACTGGTCCTCAGAAAGATAGAACTACGAGTACTTGCTCTCACACACACACAGCAACATAGAGAGAGAGAGAGAGAGACAGAAGAAAAGACAGATTATCTCGTCCTTGTAGTGAAAACGCCGAGTTAATTTTGTTTTTGAATGAATAATAAGGCCAGTTGATTCCACAAAGGTCAGCGTGAGTCTCATTATGCAGCACAATAGTCACTTAAGTGAGACATCAAAGAGAAGCTGTGCTACCACCGCTGCTCCTGTTTGTGCTTCATCAAAACATTCAGGTTAAGGTCTGTGGCTACACTGAGAGAGACCGAGAGAGAGAGAGAGAGGGGGGGGGGGGGGGGGGGGGGGGTGCTTAGAGTGTGATTTTGACATAACTAATTGATTTAAAATCTCTTTGAAGTCAGGAGTGTGTGAAGCATAAAATAGCACGGTGTTGTTTTTTTTTTTGTTCTCATACACACTTTGGTACTCGTACTGGGCTTCTATTGCTTTAATTCAGTCTGTAAATCCAGTCGGTTATAAATCTCTTTCTATCCTCATGCACATAAACAAAACATCTTCTCTTTCTCCATGATATCATATAATTATTATGCTCACATGCATTTCAAAAAGTATTTAAGATGCTAGTGTGTATAAAAAAAACCCCCATCTTCCTTGGTTTAATTAAAATGCTCAAAAACTCCACTTGAGATTTTTTGGTTGCCTCTGTCCCAGGACAGTTGGATTTCATTTAGCTGACGCTTGTATCCAATAACTGCATTCGACCATGAGGTTTGACCATGTCCTGGATGTAGACTGGTCCCAGACACACAGTTCACAGTTCACAGAAACGGATGCGGGCAGACACTGGTAACCAGTGTGAGTGAACTTAGGTTGGTTGAAGACCAGTCGAGCTGCTGCATTCTGAATGAGCTGCAGAGTTCTGACAGCACTAGTGGGAAGGAGTTGCAGTAGTCTAGGTGTGAGATGACCAGAGCCTGGACCAGAACCTGCGCCACCTTCTGAGTGAGAAGGGGACGGATTCTCCTGATGTTGAGCAGCATGTACTGTATCTACACGAGCGAGTTGTTGCAGTAAAGTTGGTAGTAAGGGAGAGTTAACTGTTGAGTGTCACCCAGGTTCCTAGCAGTCTGGGTGGGGGTTACCACGGAGTTGTCAAAGGTAATAGTCAGGTCATGGTAGTGGAAAAATAGTTTGGTCTTATCAAGGTTGATTTTCAGGTGGTGTGCAGACATCCACTGAGAGATGTCAGTCAGACAGGAAGAGATGTGTACTTCTACCTGTGTACTTCTACCAGCAAAAGTATCCTGTAGTTACACTTTTGTGCTTTTTAAATTACAGTGTTTTAGTGTTTTCTCCTCATTTTAGTAGAAGCACATTAAATAGAATCTGTGCACCCCCAAAAAAACCATGATCTTCTCCATTTGTTTGTCAGAGAGATGAGTCAGGAGGCAGAAAGAGGCCAGCTCAGCACTCCGCTCAGAGACGTGTGTGTTCCGCTGCCAGAGACAACTCAGTGGCAGGTGCTGCAGGCAAACAGCTAAGACAGGGTGCAAAAAGGCTTTCCCTGCTTTTAATCACACATGCAGCTCTAGTGCAGTGCACAACTACACACCAGTATGCACACAGGCTCACCTCTCCTTACTGTACACGTGCCTGCACAGCAGACTCAGCCCAGCACAATCAGCCTGCTCATCACTAGTGTCCTTTGATGGCTCGATGGAGGTGTCAGCCCTGTGGATTGTGCAGAATAATTGTACCGCTATGATTCATACTTTAATGAGGTGTTTGATGGACATGTTTTTTACATTAGAAATAGAGGCACCTTCATTGTGAACTGATTTTGATGCAGGGATCTCAGCAAGACATGGACACAAGGAAACTCTCTAACGTCATACCATTTAGGATCTGGGAGATAATAATAATACAGCAACAATAATACCAGAAAAATCTTTTTTTCCGATTTTCTCCTGTTTCACAGAGATCAAAGATCAGCCGGAGATGTAAGACAATCCGTGTCATGCACATGAGCATGGAGTTACATCAATATCCTTCCCTGGGAGGATACTGCACCGCTGCAACATTTGATAGGACGATGCTGGTCACGAGTCCTGCAGGTGTGAAACACACACTGTAAATGAAGAAGGGTGATATCTTTCGTCCATATACAGGAAGTATTATTTTATCTCCATGTGAATACATGAAGAACCTACAGCCTACAGGTATACTAATAATCTCTCCTGTCGCTGATTTAATGAGCCATCTCCACTGCTCTTTCTCTCCGCTGCAGCTGAGTGCAAACACGTTCACCCTCACATCATTAACATGGTGATTATGTGTGTTCATTACGGTCTGGCTGTGTCCCTGCAATCTCAGGATTCTCACAGTTAACCTGGGAGGAGACGGAGCGTGGGGGCCTAACGTGGGGCGAGCCAATCGAAGACCTTCCTCTAAATAGGCAGTGGTTGATTTGGCTCGGCTGGTTGAGCTGGGGATGACCATGCTCCCCTGAGCATCATTACAGTCAACATCTGTCTGATGGAAACCTGCCCACGAGGCCTGTTAGCGTCTCATCACAGAGACACTTCGAACAGCAGGCTCTGAAACCTTGAAGACTTCAAGTTGTGGTCGCACTTGTAAGACAATATATTCCTCTCTGCTTTAGGTGAAAAGCCAAATGTCCCTGACCTTAATTTACAATGAAAAATGTACTTGGTTTAAAACTCATTCTAGACTCTCTGAAATTAAAGCAATATTTGATATTGATAATCAATCAAAAGATGAAATACGTTTTTACTTGATTTCCTCTCTTAGCTCCAGCTCAGTTGCAACAGACCTTTTTCACAGATGCCATTTTGACATGAAACATAGTTAAACATACATTACTCATCACATTTGTTAAGACTCTGTCTAAATAGCACAGAATTGTAATTAATGTAATTAGTAACACCTTTTATACCTGTTAGTTCATGTAAAAGTATCAATGTCTAAATTGTGCCTGTGAAAATGGTCTATCATTTACTCTTTAAAGCCGTGTCCCAATTCAGGGGCCGTCTTGTTCTTGAGGACACGGTCAACAAGGTAGCGGAAAGAAAATAATAAGATGTACATGAATACAAAATATGTTTCTATATACAATTTGGTACAATTCCTAAAGTTAATATCGTAAATAATGTGCAAATTGATCAGGTTTATTGCAGGGGGGGTATTTTAAGCCAGCCTGAAGGAAGGGTTTCAAAGCGCAGTCTGATCTCGCCTTATGGAGGAGCTGTTGCTCTGTGGTAACCATCGGGGGGGTCTGTGGAATGTTGATCACCTTGTCAGTCACCTTCAATATGGCTCAGCTGATTTTTGTCCTTAGTATTTCAATGTCCGAATTTTTCTGTAAACTAGCTGCCAGTTGCCACAAGAGCTGTCTGACTCTGTCGATCTAAACTCTTGAGAGACTCTTATGGACTTTTTGAAGTTATCGACTTGTGTTTGGACTTTGTTTTAAGATTCTGTATTTAATTGTTAACTTTCCTAGTGTGTCTCTGCCTCAGTTTCTTTAATTTCCTCTGATCCCCTGTGTTGTCATTTCCTGTTTTATTTTAAAGTCCACTTCCTGCTTCTCTTGTATTTAAATGTTGGTCCCTTCACTTCCTCTTGTTTCCTTATTCTTGATTACTGCACCTGCACCATAATGTGTTCCTCTCTCGTCTGGTTGTCAGTTTGCACATGGATTTATTTCTCATGTTTCAGCTCTACTTTCATTTATGAATTGATCTCTGGTTTCTGTGCTGTTTGTCTGCCACTGGAGACCATAAGCCTCCATGACAAATCCAAAATGGACCCAGCAGACCTGGGCCTTGTAGGAACCACACTTAGACGAGCAGTTCCCTTTTTGGGGAACTTGTTTGGCCATCATGCCAAGATATCAACATCCAGCAACCAGCCCAAGTTTCAACCCCGGCTTTTTCAGAAGTCTGTCCCTGTCTCAGCTGCCATTGGGCCTTCTAGCCTTCAGCTAACCACCAGGTGTGTCTTTGTCCAACATGCTTTTAAGAAGGTAAGCCTGTTTTTGTTCCAACTCCACACTGCATGCAAAATGTTTGACTTTTGTATTTGTATACATGACTCAAACTCTAGAGTGAATCAAACACAAAGGAAAGTTCTGTGTTGGTGTTTATTGTAAACGTGTAAAGAGAGCAGAGGTCAGTGGTGGGGAGAGGAAGGAGGACATGCAGCAGGGTTAATACAGCATGGCACAAGGATACCAATGCGTGTCTGCCTCAATCCTGAAGCCTTGTCTTTGCTAAACTTGTCTGTTTGGGACGTCCTGTTCTCTTATCCTGTGCTGATGCTCTGGAGCTACTTCAGAATTATTCCTTTTCAAACAGTTCTACAATGTACTGTCACTTTTTATTGTTTGTGTGCTGAAAGTTGTGTTCAGAGATTTTTACAGTTAGAAAAGTTAGAAAACTTTGTGTTCATCCTACCTGGTTTATCCACAATGAAGATGTTATGATCAATGTTTTTTTATTTTACTTTGCTCATGTATGTGGATTATCTATAACTTCGAATGAACTGATGTTACTGAACTCATATTGCATGTTTTTTGCATCTTTTCAAAATAAAAGCAGTAATTCAGCTCAATATAAAGCATTGCAGCACCATAATGTGCTTTAACTTTGAGGACAAATTGCCAAACAAGAAGTGATTATATGAATGTTGTTGCCATGATGGAGATCAGCACCTGTGCTGTGTCTCTGGTTAAATAAGATTATCAAAGTGATCTTGCAAGTTTGATCCAGTTGACGACCACTGCTGTAGTTTAGCTGAGGACATAAGAGGTAATGTAACACAAACACAAACACACACACACACACACACACACTCCGGTCTCTCTTCCTATCTGCTCTGTGTCTCTCTCACTATCTCTGTGAAGGCTGGATAATGACACTTCCAGATGGTTTGCCTACTGTGCGTGTGTGTGCTGGCGCTGGCTCTGTTTGAAAAGGATCTTTCGTCTTCCTCTGACAATAGAATCAGTCCAGTCAGCACAGCTGTCTATCTGCTGCCTCTCTTCCCCAGCACGTCTCGATAAATCCCAGCGTCGTGCTGCACAGTTTTGGCCCATGCTCTTCTCCACTGCTCCATTTATTCTTGCTTTCTTAATCTATTAAGCTTTACACTTTCTTCTCCCCCCTCTGTTCTCTTACACATTCTCATTCTCCCTCTGTTTCTACTTTCACTCTGATCCCTTTCTTTCTCCTCCCACTCCTCCTCGCATGCTCTCTCGCTTCTTAATCTCCACCCTTCTGCTCCATCATTGTTTTCTCCCAGTTTCTTCTCCCTCTCCTCTCCTCCTTGCTGTGTAACAGCCAGTGACATGTTTGGCAGTTCCTCTGCTCTCTCTTCTCGTAAGGAATTACGGTCCTGACCCAGTTCCACATGCAGCTGCTGCCACATCTACGTGCCTGTGGAATAATGTGTGTCACAAACAGCCACAGAAGGATCTAAGCTATCTGGACACACTATCTGAAAACATTTATTCATTAAGTGACTGTTTATGTGTAAAACCTTTTGTGGAGCCATACATTTTTACCTCTATGACAAAACAGAATCCTTGAGCTTTAGGCTGCAGTATTGGTGTCCCTCAGAGCAAACATATCAACAACACTGGCAATTTGTTAAAATGTTTTATTTCCTAAGCTTTTTTGAACTACACAATGTGCTTTAACAATTTCAAAAACATATTCATTAACCTGTGGCTTTGCTCAAAGCTATAGAGCTAAAACAGGAATCAATTACTGAATCAGGAGTTGAGCATGGATGTTGGAAAGGCCATTTTATTTATAAAGCACCATTAATGAGTTCAGTGCTGCACAGGGACAGCAAATTAAAGTCTAGAAGCACAGTTCAAAACAAAAAAAAACAGATAAAAGAAAATAAGAATCTGTATCAAAACTTTAAAATAAGTTAAGAGGGACAATTAACATAAATGAAATGGGAAGAACTGTAGAATAATATAATGAAATACGATGATGGTATGAGAATATAAAATAGCTTAGTTAAATGCCTTTGTGAATAAAAAAAGTTTGGAAACTTTGTTTTAAACATCAAAATAGATGGAGCATTTGTATCATCATGCAGCTGTTTCCAACACTGTGCGGCATGGTGACTAGAATATGATTCTCCATGTGTAGATTTTAACCCAGGGTACTACTGGCAGACCACTCCCCAGTGATCTCAGGGGTCTCGCAGTGTTCTATCGGACTCATGTGTCTGTTATGTATTTGAAAGCAGCTCCAGATTTTGTGATTTCTTTAATGTGATTGTTAATAGACAAACTGACGTCTAGCCTTTAGTCAAGTGATTCTTTGCACACACGCTACATTACTGATGGTTGTAGCTGCTAACTCATCTGATAAATGACAGAAACTAACTAGTTCAGAAATGTAAAATTCAATCTAAGGTGTAAGCCCTGGCCGCCATGTTATTCCTTGCCAAGCTTGAAGCCAGAACATCTGCCATTTATTTAATTATTAGTTCCCCTCTGTTCTGCAAAGACACAGGTGTAGGCAAAATAGCTCTGACCTATTGAACCTGTAAAAATACCCATAAATTGCTGATATACAGTTATAGTTCATTGGATTTCTTTACCATCCTGAGCAGGATGTATTAATCAATAACCTCATGACATATGTCGTGAACAAAAGTAACACATAACGGTAATGCATACACAAACTGGCTCAATGTATTATCATGTGCAGTGAGCTGTGAAAACTCCACAGGGAATTGTTGTATTATATATTGAGCTTATTTTCACTGAATCTGAGGTTATGTTCATGTTCTTGTCCTGTGGGTGTGTACGAACAGTGTGTTGGCCCCACCATGTAGTCACACACACACACACACACACACACACACACACACACACACACACACACTCTCAACCTTCTTCTTCTATCTTAGAGAGGACACTGGTCATTGGTATAATGCATCCCCTAACCTCAAAACATTTCCTCACCATAAACATTTATTGATTTACATTATGGGGACTTAATCTTTGTCCCAATAAAGAAGACAAGTCCTCATAATGTAATTGTGAAAACCGATTTTACCTGCACCACACACACACACACACACACACACACACACACAGTAGACTTGGCAGTGTAACATGGATCAGAGCCATAACCTGTGAATGCCACATTTCTCTGGGTTCTGTGACATTGCAGAAGTTGCAGCTCAGAGAGTTTCACACCCTGTCTGCTGAGGCTGTGTTCCCACACCACCACACTGGCGAGGCTTGTGTGGCTGCCTCTATGTCAAGTCTGACAGCAGCTTCATATGATACATAGTTACCTCCACCCGTCTGTAGGGACTGAGACTTCTGCAGTGCCTTCTCTGATATTAAAAAATAATTAAAAGTGCAGTTTTTAATTCTTGGTGGTGAGGCCACATAAGAAGTAACAGACACTTCTAAAGGGGTAATTGTGTTTAATTGGATTGAGAGGACATCGGGAGTGTTGTTTTGAAGGAGCCTGTTCAGGTAAGTGGCACCAACAGAAGTAAAAACAGATGTGACTGCTTTCAAACAACATCCATGTCTTACTGTTACATTTCTCTAATTGACTTCCATGTGGATTGGGAGAAATCAACGCACTTGAACAAATTTTACACATTAATGATATGCTAAGGTTTCTATCGATGATACCTACCTACCTCATTTTTAGAATAACTTTCTAACTTTTTTTTACACCCATTACACTTTTATCTAGAAATAATTTCTCACCATAACTGAAGAGTCAAAACATTTCTTTTTATCATCCTTACAGAACCATTCGACGCTATGTTTTTCAGTTTATGATGATAATTTACATTTATATTATTACAATAGGGGATTCATTTGGCTTTATAATAACTAACTTTAAAGTTTACTATACAATTATACAAGGTTGATACAGATAATAACAATGTTGAACACTTCTTTCATTGTGTGGTCACAGTTCAGAGCTGAGAGGTCGCAGGAGGATTAGTTGTGAATCTGCTGGAGCTGGGAACTTTGATTAAGAAAATTAAACAGTTGCTCCTACTATGCAGTCTGAGGATGAGGGAGGGGCCGTGTTTTTCTTTGTCCCTATGGAGTGACTGGTCAGGCTGTTGCTGGGGCGAAGATCACGGTGGCTTCTCAAATCAGTTTTGGGGGATTGAGTCAAATGTGACTAAATGGATGAGATGTTGATTTTCCAGGAAGAGGCCCTTCTAGGTGCTTGTTCTTTAAAGTTCACCCACAATAGAAGTCACCCTAAGATGTTTCACAGACCATATTGTGGCTGTTTATCATAATGGGGTATGTACGAGTTATCAATCTGCTCACCAGTCAGATCATTAGAAAAAACATGCACACTTTTAGCTTGCTCCCTACAGATAGGTTCCCTTTCACTCCTTTCATCAGCGCTGGATTGAGTAGCATACAAAGCATTTAGTATGTGTAGTGCATTCTTAATATTTGTTATATATGTGGTAGTCATAATAGTTTTTACTAGCAGTAATCAATAGTTATTCTGAGACAAATCACACAATGGTCAACAATTTATTCTGAATACTCATTCTCGTTAGCTTGATAAATTGAAACCAAAAACCAAATTTATCAGATGATTCCATTGCTTTTCATTTGCATACTTTCATTGGCTATTTTTTCTTCCATATATATTTCTCATTCTCTTCTAGCATGGTGAAACCATGCTGTGTGTTTCACCTGACTGATAACTCTGGACACTGCTGTAACCTGATTTCCCCATGATGGTCACAGTTTCATCATGTCACTTATTAAATTCTCTGTGCCTGATCTGATGGTGATGCATGTTATTGGCCTGTAATTAAAAACTCTGCCTCTCATGTGAACAAACACGTGGCTGGATTTGAAAAAGTACCTGTTGACTAGCATCATCACCTCTTTCCACTCCAACTATTGAGTCTTTTTGTTCATGGGAATAAAATCTGAAGTAGCAATGCTAACGAATGCGCGCCCCGCGCATGCCCCTAGTCGAGAGCTTGTATGTGGTTTTCCGGTGTGTCTGTGAGAACATGAACACGCTTCAGAGAATGGTTGACAATGTTTAGATTCTGCACTGGTGGTGAACTTTTCATGTTGGGACATTTAATATATGTTATGGACTATTCTGTTTGGCCCCTTCAATTTTTGGATTTGTCTTTGTATGCCTTGTAATTTTTACATTACATTTACATGTTTTATTTTTCGACTGTGTCCCACCCTGTATGTTCTTCTGCAAACTCTTCCGATGTGTTTCTCCAGTTTTTAATTATCCCTGCCCCTGTTATAGCCTGTGTTTCTTTTGTCTTTTTAAGCTCATATGGTCTGTTTGATTTGTTTCAGTCCTGTGTCTTCCTGCCCTGTTTCCTAGTTTAACTGATGATTTGCTGCTTGAGTGTTTTGGTGTTGAATTACCTTACTTTGACTTGTTTGCCTTATTATTCTTATTCTATTAAATTAAACGTCACCTTGCTCCTGTGCCTGCAGTTGGGTCCTCCTTGGTAATTGTGACTGAGCATCCTGCACACACGCATTATACTCGGTGCAGCTAAATCACACTGATTGTTTACTGTTCTTTAATAAGCTGAGCTAAATGAGATTATGGTGCTTTTTTTAGACTTTGAACTCCTACAATCATCACTCACCTCCAACAAATTACATCTGCTATGATGGACCCCTCGCTAACTACCGATCTTGGCACCTAGAGGAATAATGCTCATTTTGTCCCCCTCATGCTGTGCAAAAATATGACATATGAGATTTTTATTAATGCTTGAAACTCATTTACTGAAGGATCATGTGAGTATGTTGCAGTCCTTTATTTTACATGTTGTCTCTTGACATGTCGCCAATACAAAAGCTTTGTAATAGAAATACATTTCCGGCCCCTGAAACAATCATGTTGGTCCAAGCTACTTTAGATTACAAGTTAAAATGAAACGTGTTGTGTCGATGGGTGCCTCCTGGCAAACGAGTTATTACCATGGCCTCTATATACAACATGAAAACATAATTCTTTCCAAAAAAAAAAATTGTGTAGTGAATTTTAATGTCATTGGAACACAAACATATGATACTGAATAAATATTAAAATCCAAAAATTCCTGCATCATTTGAGGAAGTCTGTTGCAACTTGCTGTGAGACACCAGGATCACAACTGTCATATCTATAAAATATATTGAAACTCAAATGTTCAAATAAACAGAATTTTTTTGTCGATGTAAAGGCTCTTCCGCTTCTTCTCCACACTTTCCGTTCTGCAGGGGCGATGCAGTTCTCAGTGTGGTCGATATTAATGATCCTATGGGTGGCACAGACTGTGGACAGCTGTCCTGATGTCTGTAAGTGCTCCAGGAAGGCTGGTCCAGAAAAGTCAGAGGTCAACTGTTACAAGACGGGTCTTCTGAATTTTCCCTCCGATCTGCCTGCTGATGCTTGGATCCTCAAACTTGGTGGGTACATCGCAGTTATGAAAATGAACCCCAAGATTGTTGTGATGTTTAAGATATGATAGTTATAGGACATGATTCCATGAGTAACCAACTTTCCCATGGGTGTGTAAAGGTGAGAATGGTATCACAGACCTGAAGGCTGATGTTCTGACATCAACTCCAAAGATTGAGAGTGTCAACCTGGAACGAAACGCCATCGAGTCCATCCACCCTCAGGCCTTCTCCGGGGCAAAACAACTTATGCTTCTCAATCTTTACAACAACCACATCACCAGCCTTCCACCGAGAGGATTCCAGGTAAAGAATATGGGGGGGAATGGGTTTCATACACAGATACAATAATCTGACCACAAAAACGTTTCTTTTCCCATATCTGTAGGACCTCCTGAACCTCCGCTTCCTCATGCTGGGACAGAACCAGATAGGCGTCCTCAAAGCTGAGATGTTTGCTGGTTTAAAGAACCTGTCAGATCTTGATCTTCCTCTCAATGCACTCACCTCTCTCCCATCGAATGTCTTCAAGCCTCTCACCGACCTCAAAGTTCTGGACCTTTCAATGAACCTCATTCAGAGGATGTCTCCCAAAGCCTTCAATGGCCTCAGACAGCTCATGTTCCTCAACTTGGATAATAACAGGTCACAACACATGGCTTTTCCCCCTCTTTTTAATACAGTGATGTACATGCATATCTAGTGAAGACAAAAGCAGACTGACTTTGCAGGTATTTGAAATGAGAATCAAATTTCTCAACTGTGCATTGTTAGGTCAGACTCAATGATGTGTTACCTTAATGAGAACAAATACAGAATGTTTCACAATGCTTCTCTTGAGGGAGTTTTTCCTCCACAGTTGCCAAAGTGCTTGCACATTGTGAGAACTGTCGGGTTTCTCTATATTAATAAGGTTTTAAGGTCTTGACCTTCTATGTAAAGTGCCTTGAGATATTGTATATTATGATTTGGCGCTATACAAATACAGTTGAATTGATTTTAAAACCGAGAACTAAAAAAGCAAAAGACAAAAATGATTTATACATCACTTGAAGTGTCACTTCACCAACTGACCATTTTTAATCACCCAAACATTGACTACTCTGTCATATAGGTAAATACAACTGCACAGTTAGTCTGTAAAATGTTGAATCTGGAAATGTGCATTTCATTATTTTTGTGGTAGACAGTCGTAGACAATTGATTTACTATTTTTGAATCAACCTCCTTATATTTTAAAATGTATGAGGTAATAAAACATTTCTTTAAGTTTGCCTATAATGAGCAGTTTAATGAATGACTTGTACTGAAATATAGGAATTATCAGATCTGTCACAATGGCAAATTTGAGAGAGTCATTCAGGCATGTTTGAACCAGAAAACGGTGATAAAGAATACGTGCTGATTATACTGAATCATGTCCATTTAGATCAGAATAGTAATGTACTGTATGTATAACTAGTTACATTTGAAATGTCACAGTAAGAAATAGCATAAGCCTTTGAATTGACTGCTTCATGACACAGTAATGTGTTGCTTAAGTTAGATAAGTACCATACCTTTTAAAATCTCTTGATACCACTTGCAATGCCACAGAGTAACAAGCATCAGAGGAAGCAGCCTCATCTTGTGAGATTACAGGATTGGTTCCTTAAATGTGACGTAAAATACCATGGCTGTCAATCGTTTGTGCAACAGTGTTATGAGATATGATTAAAAGAAAAAGTCTGAGACATGTTAAAAACCTGATTTTGAATTGAGCGAGCCATTACAGTACCATGTCTTACCATACTGGTTGATAATGATACTCTAAATGTCTCTCCATATCCAGTCTGAAGACTGTTCCTCCTGGAGCATTCAAACCGCTGCAGTCTCTGGAGATGTTGGTCCTAGATAACAACCTTCTGTTCTCACTGCGCCCGTCATCTTTGGATGGCCTGGACAACTTACAGGTAATATAGGCTCTTGTTATAACTCTTTTTACACACAAACAGCTGAGAACGTCAGATAGGATCATCTCAAGCTTAATGATATGCAGTGTAAAACAATCCACTTTTTATAGAACAGAACAGAACAAGTAGGCGAGCTTCCCAGTAATTATCTTGACAACCACTGGAGTTCAGCTACCTCTATGGTTATTTATGTTCTTGCTCAAAACTTTCTCAGTGTACATTCGTCCTCTGACATAAATAAATGTGCTGACTATTGAACCAGGAACTCTATCTGAGGAAGAACAATCTGGAGCACCTGCCAGCTGATGTGTTCAGGAACATGCCCAAGCTTTCTCAGCTGGCTCTCAGTGGAAACCGCCTGAAGACAGTGGATGGAAACATGTTCACCCATATGCCCAGTAAGAATATTGCCAGCAGGGGTCTTCTGCCCATTCTATTTCCACAGGAACAAAGGAGTGATTCATAACTGCATCATTCGCTGATGCAGCAAAATTCAGTTTAGTAATAACCTTTCTTGTCTGACTCTTCAGACCTGAAGAAGCTGCACATCCATGACAATCCGTGGCGGTGTGACTGTAACCTCAGCTCCTTGGTGCAGTGGATGGGACAGACGAAGGCCAGCCTGTCTCCTCGGACTGCCCTGAAATGCTTGAGCCCTCCAGAGCTCCAAAACAAGAGCCTCGCCAGCCTGAAAGACGGCAAACTGCTCTGCCGTGCCTAACGCCACAAAACCTTGAAGCAGACCTCGACATGGCCCCGGACCTTAAGAGATTCAGATAACAAACTTTTATTCAACAAATTTGTTTTGGTCATTTTTGTAGAGTGACCTTGTTTCTTGTGATTTCTTAAAGCTTTAATGTAAGGAATAGATTTGAATGAAAGATTCTGTATCTCCTCTTCTTTATGGGCAACATAATACATTTTCAGCTAGAAATCTTATATTAGCCTTTTTGAAACTTTAGCTTGACCTACATGTATATCAAGTTTAAAGCCCAAAGATATCGATGTAATTTCAAACCATACTGGAGCATGAAACTTTTAAACTGCAGTAAAAGTTTGAGCAAGAAACCTGTATGATGTTTTCACTGAGTATAATCACAGTATTTTCAACAAGCAAACTAAAGGTGCTGCAAATTCAAGACTGACTTAAATAAAATGTATTCATTTCCACTAGAGTCAGCAACATAGACCAAAAAACTGTTGTGCATAGTAAAATATTGGTACAATCAGAAAATCTGGTTGAAGACAACCCAGGTAGGATGAACACAAAAGTTCTGCACTCAAACAGTAAATAAGTGACAGACAGGCTGCACATCATCATATTTTTCCCTCAAGCAAAGTACAAGTGCTGTTTTTTACCTGCAGATTCAACACATTAAAGGTCATATTAATAATATTCATTCATAGATGTCACACCATCACCAGCATCACAGATCAAAACACCCCTCCTGCTGTCATATGGTCTGAGCAAGTTCTGTGTACATAAGAGCCAAGAAGAAAGCAGAATACTAAACTCAAAAAATTATTGACTTTCAATTCCGTTCAATTGAAATTGTTTACACAAAAGTTATGTGTTTAATGTGTATATATTATGTGGAAGTTTAATATTATTTAATCAAATCATTCTCAAGTTATCGGATCTATTCACATTAACTCAACATGATAGAAAATTCTTTATTTAAAGTTACATCTCAATCAGAGCTGTAACCATCTCCCTTTACAAACACAGGGGAGGGCGACTGATTTCACATGGAGGTGAGTGAGCGAACAAGAAAACAAATATTTCAGGATGAAAAAGCATTGCCGTACATATAGAAGACAGACACTTTATTTTTAAATGGAAAATTGTTGTTGGCTGCTATACTATTAAATATCACCTCTTATAGATAACCTTTAATATCATAATCTCATATTGCTTGTCGTACAATAACTGTACAGGATTGGAAAGTGAGGGATTACAGTGGGATTATATTAATTACTGCCAGGAAGAAGCTCAGCTAAAATCTAAGAATTAGGACAGTGTTGGATAATAAAAATTTCATTGAAAATGTAATCTCTAAATTAAAGTGTAGGGAGCCTCGGATCCAGGCTGATGCTGCAAAGTAGCTAAGCAGCAATATGCGAAATGGCCAAAAGTATGTGGACGTGTCTCATTCCAAAACTGTGGGCAGTGATTTGAATCTACATCAACCTCCAATCATCTGGTTTCAGGTTGTACACTAGGGTTTTGGACATAGACATGCTCCATTAGTAAGGGTCCATGACTGATTTTGACTAATTGATGGTAACACGTACTTCTCTTTTTCTGAAAGAAAGTATAAAAGGACTTACACAAAGAAAACAACCTCCCCTGCAGTGTCTGCTGCTACTGCACATCTTCTCACTGTCAGTGCACCTGCACCACGCTTCACACTATGATATGCAATTACTGTACCGCAACCTCCCCTGAACCTGCCTCTGTCAGACACTCACTCCTCACGTTCAGCAGCTCATCACTGCACATCCACAGGGGGGAAAGAGATGGAGCAGGAAGAGGCAGTGAGAGTTTGATCACTTTGTGGATAGAGGGAGAGAATGGGAGGATGAGTATATGGTGTAAAGGGATGATAGGAGGTGGCAGAGCATGATGTCCTGCTCAAAAACTTATGTAACTGACAAGGTGACCTCCTCGCACAATGACTTTGACACGATCGCCAATTTCTAATTCTAACGAGTGAGCCATAATTTCCACCTGCATTAAACCTGCTATTATAGAAGAGCGCCTAAGAACAATATAATAACTAGGCTTTGTAACAAGCCGCAGTTTTCCTCGCCTCCACCGTTGGATCCGGCATAATATAGAGCAATGATTTATTTTTTTTTCTCTCCTCCTCAATGCTTCTTTTTTGGCCTGTTTATTTTAATTAGCTGCTGCTAAACCTATAATCTTTACAGAGGGTTCAGTTTGATCATCGACACCACACATTCACATCTCAACACTTCACAGAATGGAAATATTTCATGCTTATCAGAATTTATGATGATTCGGTTTTAGATGGGAGTGTGAAATTACAGCAGAGAGTAATAGCTACAGAGTGTGCAATTTGGACAATGCATGTTGTGTTGCATGCTAGTGGTTGTGTATTTCTTTACACAAGATTAAATGGCTCTACATGTTTCTGAGGCCTGGTTCTTTGAGATGCATCATGCATAAAATACAGAATCATGACTTTGTGCTTATGTACAGTTTCCTATCTCATACTAAGCATGCTGTTTATTTAAATTATTTAGGCTGACGTGTTTTGTTAGGTTTTCATGGAAGCTACAGGTGATGCAACACGCCGGGTAGACAAAGGCTGTATTATCAACGTTTTATGTGTCGTGTTTAAGTTAGATGTGTTTGCTCGGCAATTCTTCCACGATGGTCTGTTGTCCCTTGAGAATCATGAATGTGTTGCACTGCCAGATATAGTTACTGTTTGGAAACCCACATTACATCATGAGAGGCATTCCATGCATTCCTATTTTAAAACATCTTTTCAGTGCAGACTGGCGACTGCTGCTGCTGAGGACTTAGCCCTGAGAATTGTGGGTCTTCTCTTCAAGTGATGTGAGACAAACGCTGAATTCAGTTAGTTTTTCCCTTTGTGGTCCTGCATGGTTAAAAAAAACTAGCTAGCATGTGGTATGTATTGGACCTTTATCACTTGACAAATCAACATATCTCACAAGCTTGTTGACCATCCAATTGTGGGGCGAAGCTGTAGTACTCTATTTTTCCCTGGACTGTGCCAACCCTATAATTGTGAATGTTGTTTACTGTGTCAGTGACTAAGTCAGCACTGGCTGGCCAAATGCATCCTCCTCTACACCAGAATAAGTGTAAATAAGTGTATACACAGGTTTTTTTTTGTAAAAAAAGGCGATGGACTCCTTCCCAATGCCAGAAGGGGAGTTTTCCTTTCAGTTTTCTTCCCCAGATGCAACATGTTTAACATCACAAATGCTCAAAGAAAATTGGCGCACTCTCACCTCTGTGTCTTGCCAAGTTGGCACGTTCACTCAGGTGTTACATCATTCCAGCCTTAAATCTGTGGACTGCAGAGTCATTGGACCCAGGAGTGAAAGTTGACTGTATCTATTCCCATTGCAGACAAAAGCTAGATGTTTTGTGGTTTTACTGGTTTTTAAGTGTAAACGGTGTTTTAGTCTTGAAGTAACACCATTGGTCATCAGGGTGGAGTTTGCAGGCAGTTGTTCTAACTTAGAGTCTTTGTTGCTAGATTTACTTATCGAAGATAAGGTAAGAGTTACTACTATGGTAGGAAATCACCTGCATGTTTGTACACATCTTCACCTAGGTCTCTATTATGAAAAGAATTAATCTACAAACATTAAAATCACTTCATATTTCTTGTCTATTTTAAAAATAATATGACAAAAATATTCACAGTACATACTGGAAAAGCTGCTATGGCCACATGAATTTCTTCTTGTGGGTTAATAAAGTTTACCTTGATCTTGACCTTGGTTGGTACATGGAGGTAGAAAATCTAGTCAATGATACAAGACTGTACATTTTATTCATTTGAAATGGTTCACACACTTTTTTTCTGGTCATTGTTGCTGAACATTTAGCAGCTATAGACCCAGATGTTCTGCTTTTTGATGGAAAACAAAGTCATTATTGAAAAGCAGAATAATTCAGGGAGCAAGAAACATAATTCTAGTGTTGAGTCTCCAATAGATGTCCATCCATAATAACAGTTTGTCCATCCAAGCCCCATCCATTTCACAAGGTTCTACTAATAGTTGCACTGACAGCTGGTTCTGATTGTTTCAAAATGACCAAAGTAAAATCATTCAATTCCAATTTAAATTCCTTATCATGATCCCCCTACTGTCAGTGAGCTAAACATTTGCTGCTTGTTCTTAGTTTAGTCGATGCTGACCTTGGACATTGACCTTGAATGTAAAAGTGCAAATGAAAAACAATACGTGCACTGCTTATTGTGAGCACCTCATGTGTGACTTGCATACATGTACATGAAAAATATTTCTAACATTTAGATTCCCCGATACCACAGTGAAATTGAAGTTTTACTCCAATTCTTACCAGGGAAAGTCTCCCTCTTTCATCCCCTCACATCAAACTGTTCCATTGATGAAGTGGTGGAGTTGTTCACTGAAGGGCCTGCAACAGTTTGGACTTGTAAACTCGGAGGAGAGGAAACAGCAAACCAGCAGGGATACAATTAAAGATTTCTCTCATGTACACACTTATGTCTACAAAATAGGCTTTGTAAGGTTAGAAGAGATGCGTAGTTATGCACATTATCATTACGTTTTATCATGATATAGAATTGCTGAGAAAACTAAGAATACACAGGAGTGCAGATATAACACACATCATACATTATTCATCCCGCATTTTGTGTGTGTGTGTTTATGTCAGTGAAACTGGGAGAGACAGTGGGATGTTGAGGTCCAATTCTCCTTCATGTTGACCTGGAAATATGCAGCTCACAAGGCTCATTTTGGACATTTTGACCTTTTCTCTCGTCAGTTTTTTATTTATCTAGTGATGGCCGTCTGGGGACGTTCCCTTGCCATGGTTTCAGACTTCAATTGTCGGCCTCATTATCAACTGTATTTGTTTAACCTCAGCAGCCTCACTGGGACTTTGCTAAATGGTCATTTGAGCTGTGGTGCATGAGGACCCATTTAGAAAAGGGGTCATGTAGCGATGGTGCAGAGGAGAGACTGTCCTCTGACTGTCTGTTGTACCTAAACAGGTCAGAACTGTGAGTGTGAAAGCACAATATCACACCACAATAACACAGACATATTCAAACATGTGCTATTTTCATGGGCAGGCCATTTCAACTGTACTCAACCTTCTCTACTGCAGACAAACTAAGTACTGACATGTGAGATGTTTCACACTGAGCCACATGTCAGAGTGAAGAGACGGAGGTCTGGTCAGGGATTCCAGCGCTGTGTGGTTTAGCACAGTCCTGCTGCTGTGGCACCGCCACAGTCTCTCACTGTAGTCTGTGTTTGCATTCAGCTCACAGGATA